AGAGCCTTTTTCGCCAAAATCCGCGTCGACTAATAAGCCACTAACTACAACAACAACAACACCTACAACAACAACAACAACAATGTGCCTGGCACAAGATAATCTGTCGCTTGTTGTTGTTTTCTGCATTTTAATGAATTTAAACATTACTGAGCCAGCAGCAAAAGACAACAAGCAACAGAAACAACAAACAAACAAGATATTAAGTAATAATAACAACAACAGAGGGCGCTGCAGCTACAAAATGGCGCTTGGCTCGAATGCGTTAGTCGCCATTTTGCGCGTCCCTGGAAAATTGTTGAAAAGTTTTTAATGAGCCAACACGCCGCCACAGCGGCCAGTCTCCCAGCATTTTAATTGCAACAACAATCTGGGGCGTTTCCGCTGCTTGCAACATTTATTTGAGTCATCTCTGTAATTGATAGGCTATAACTAGAGCGCGACTAGCACCTTTGGATATGGCTGCAAGGGGCCATAATTAACTGTGGCGCAGCGAAGCATCTCAGACATCCCTTACGCGTAATATATACTATATATATTTGCATCTTCTGACCCAACTTTTGCCCGCTTTCGTCTTAATTAGGCCGATGAAATGTTTACCCCGCAATTTATGCGCAACCCTATCAATGTCTTAGTTAACAAGGTAATAATTAAACGCAAGCGTTGACCCCATTTCCGCTGTTGAATAGAATGGATAATTGCGGGCAATTAACGGACGTTGCCGCGTAATCTTATAAATGCAATGTATTACTGAATTTCTCGCTTATTAACAATTGCTGCGGGAGTTGAACCAGCTACTTTTGTTGATCCGAATCTCAGAACACTTAGCTACATTGACTTATGACCTCAGGATTCACGCTTTTGTGTTTTTGGCTCAAAAAATGAACAATTGTTGAGGGAGTTGAGCCAGCGACTTGCCCCTTGCTGGTCCGACGCTGAGATACCTAGGCCCCATAGACATATGACGTCAGGATTGCAAACTGTCATCACGCGTTTGTGTTTTCGGCTAAAAAAAAATGGTCATCTGCTGCGGTAGTCGAGCCAGCGACTTGTCGCTTGCTGGTCCGACGCCTAGATACCTTAGCCACACAGAATCATGACGTCATGATTGCAAACTGCCATCACGCTTTTGTGTTTTTGGCTCAAAAAATGAACAATTTCTGCGGGAATTGAGCCAGCATCTTGCCGCTTGCTGGTCCAACGCTTTGATACCTAAGCGACACAGACTCATGACGTCACAATTCCAATGCACAACTTGTTTTTATGCATTTCATACGAACTACGAACATATTTGTGAGTTGAATTTTTCAAAATCCCGTCTAAGTGTCAATTTTATTACCCAAAGGGTCAGTCCCGCAGCTGCCCCTTTGCTCTTTCAGCTTGGGCTATGCGTTGTTTATCGTTTAGTTAGTAAATAAAAATTCCTTTATGCATATTGCAGTATCCGAAATGTCGACTATTCCTGATCTCTATACGAAATTTGGTTCCCCTTAGCTGTAGAAGCGCAAAAAACCAGATTTTACAATCGATTTCCCTACGCTCAAAAGTGTAAGTCTCCAGCGCCTGAAAATTACCTTAAAAGGTTCTTTTCTTTTTAAATCTATTGGCCAATCAATCGAAAACTTAATCTGTGCGTCATTAACGAGCATTTATGTCTAAGCCCTTAAGTCGCTGGCTCTTATAGTTAACGAGCTCGGCGCGTGCATGCGGACAGACAGAGATGCTTCCTACTGCCTGTCGCTTGCACTTGCACACACAGTTCGAGTGGGGCTAAGAGAGGGAATAACAAAGAAAAGACTTGGGGCAAACTAATTGGGATCGAAACAATATTGGCTGCAGCAGGCACACGTTACATGCGTGGACGAGGATAAGCCTCTTATTAGGCATAATGCAACCTGCTGACGCACATGGAAGCGACTACACACGTAAATAAATAATAAACCAATTATAATGGATTTCAGTCGAAAAACAACAAACAACAATTTGCAATGCGCGTGGCAGCATTGTCGAGTGCAGTTAAGAGAAATCCATCTAGATACAGATGCGTGTTATGCAGATTATTCCGTTTATTATATTCGGGCGTAGCGCTCGCTTCAGCCCCAATAAAGCCGCAGCTGTTGTGAGTGCTGTTGTCAGTTGTCGGTGAATTAAAGCCGCAGCCACCGCATATTCCAACATCCATTCACACACACACACATACCATCAGCACAGATTGCGTATACGCCCGGTGCAACGTGAACGGCAACTGCTTTCATAATTAATTGCGAAACAAGCTCACGATTTGCACAATTTCTGCATAAATGCACACGCAAAATCAATGTGATTAGATAAACGGAAACGAAACGGGGGCCAAGGGGGCCAAGGGGGCCGAGGGGGGCCGAGGGGGGGGCCGAGGGGGGCCGAGGGGGGGGGGGCCGAGGGGACATGGTCATCACATACTAATTGCATTAATAATACAGGCGCGAATCGAGCCGAACAATAGACATGGCCGATTACCACTGACAACGGGCTGCATCGAATACGATTTCCCCCACTTGCCATCGATTACGCGACGACCTATTGCAGTGCGATTTAACAATATTATTTGGCACTTCTCTTTCATGCATATTAATTGACATATTATATTATTTATAGTATTTTACGAGTAATTTGCATTATGTCGTTTTCGGTGAGGTTTTTAAAGAGGATTTTCACGATGTATGCATTCAAACACATGCAAAGCAGCATATACATACGAATGTGATAGTTGTTACTTTTATTTTAAATATAACAAAAAATAGTTATGTTTATAATACTTACCCGTTTTTTCAATGGCTTCCGTCAAAGCCTTAGCCACCGCCTCCTCTATTGTTCAAGCCGGCGTCTCCTTCCTTGCTCAAGTCTCCTCACTTTTCAGTGAAGCATATGAGACTTATTTGAGTTAATGAGAATCGCATAGTAGGGCATTACCCAAAAATACATATTTCTTTCATTTTTAACGCAGCTAGAGCTAAACTTGGTCTTTATTATGAAAATTTAAAATATATGCATACATTCATGTACATAATATTACATATACATAATATATGCATATATACGTGTACAAGTATATATATTACAAACTTACCCACATTCACACATATACACTTATATATTTATATATACATGTGCATACATACGCTCATGCATTCATATATACTGCATAATGCATACATACGTACACTCATCAATACATACACGCATAAATACACAAATGCAAACACATGTACATACACTTATGCATACACACATAAATACACACTTACATACATTCACATATACATATGTATATACATAAATACATACACACATTTACATACATACATACATACATACACACTTACATACAAACATACATACCTACATACAAACATGCATACATGCACACATAAATACACACACATACATACACACAAACATACATGCGTGATTACATACAAATATATATATAGACTCACATACATAGAAAATATGGATATTTTCCACTAATATCTCATAGCTGCGAGTGAAATTTCCAAAATCACTGAACTACGTATTCATTAGGTTCTTATGAGTCCGAGCGGACAAAACTCAGGGCTTGACCCAATCAACTTTTGACCCGTGTTTATTAACCAAAAGTGTGAAACTCGTAGCTGATGAATTTTCCCAAAGATTTTTACAACAGTTGCAGGTGGAATTTTCCGAAACCCCGTCTTAATGTGCACCTACATCACATCAACTACAGTAAAAATTTCATCTTCCTAGCTCTTACGCTATGGGCTGTGCGTTGATCATCAATCAGTCAGTCAGTCAGTCAGTCAGTCAGTCGGTCAGTCAGGACAAACAGTTTTTTATATAGAGATATCTGATATAACTCAACTTAATGCGTAATTTCTTAAATTCGTTTTTAAGCGTAATCACTTATATAAACCTTGTTCGAGCACCCTACTTCGAATCATTACGAAATAGAAAATATGATCTGCCGGAAAGAAATATTAAAAAAAAAAGATAAAAATGTATTTATTATCTAAAAGGGGGAAAATTGTAATTGGATACAGGATGAATTCTTGTATCGACAATCCTTGCAGAGGGTGCATTTGATTGCGTCACGAATTGCATTTGTCCCCATAATATGGCTATTTAATTACCTTTATAATATTTATATAATATGTCGGCTATCTCCAGTTCAAGAGTCAATAAGTAACAAGTCTAAGCCTCAAGTTTCTACATATATATTTCGCTAGCTTCATAATATACTAACGGGTATACCCCGGCCTTGCCCGTTATACGTATAAAAACAATTCTCTGGAATATTTTTGAAAATGAGTTTGAAATCACTGTTGTGGGTAGAATTTCTCAAATCGCTGAAACATTAAGTTCTTATGTAGAGCTTTGAAAATAAGGTTGTAGCAAATGGGAAAAAACTTAAAGTTCGCCCAAAAAACTTGGAGGAATTGATTTTCCGAAAAGTGTGAAACATGTATCAGATGAATTTGAACAAAGATCTTTGGAAATGAGTTTGAGGTCGATCGAGTGGTAAAAAAAAAAAAGATGTATACAAATTTTTCGTGATTTTTCCACATTTGTGGGTGGAAATTCTTAAAACCACGCGCACCTCCATTACATTAGGTAACTGCAGTGAAAATGTCAGCTTCAGTCAGTCTTAAGCTGAGCGGAAATCTGATGTGATAATTTTTGATATTTGATATTTTGCGAAAATGTTTGCTTTTATTTTCTGATGTGATACTCCAAGTATTGCAGAGTTGTGGGGGAGGGGGTGGGGGAGGGGGGGGGGGGTGTTAAGGATTATATATTTGCGTGGGCTGTGCTTGACAAGGGGGATATGTTTAGGGGTTGGCAATGCAGCAAAACGAACTCTTTGTATTTGCTCATTCTATCCATTTGTCTCGCTCGTACTCGTTATCTTTGCAATATATGAACTTGCTCTTGAAAGTATGCTATAAACTAGTTTTGTTTTGTCCTCTTCTTGCCCATCTTTGCAGTGCCATATGCAACCGATAAGACTGTGTGAAGTGGTCAACAACAACAACAACAAGCGCCAACAACAACAGCAACTGAAGCAGCAGCAGCAGCAGCAGCAGCTAACAATCTAGTCGGCGTGTGTGTGCGTGTGTGCGCGAGTGTGCGTGTGTGAGCGAGTGCTCAACAAAATGGCGGGCGGCCGGCGCAGCCAAAATGCAGCGCTGCTCAGCAACGTCGTCGACGTCGCCGCGATGCTGCTCTAAACGAATGCGCATAGATCGAGCACATAGCGAGCAAGCGTGAGCGAGAGCGAGAGCGAGAGAGAGAGAGAGAGCGCGCGCAACAGACAGAACAGGAGCGACTGAGAGAAATAGAGAAAGCTAGACGGTAACCAGGCAGCCACATCCATCCATCCATCCACAGCTAAGTTGCGCAGCTGCCGCCGCAGGCAAGCGGCTGCTAAGCGGTTAAGCGGTTCAGGTGCCAGACTTCAGTCATCGCAGAGCGGCGACGCAGCGCACAGACTACGCACCAAAATGCCTGGCGGACGACGTGGACTTGTTGCTCCGCAGAACACATTCCTTGAGAACATAATACGGCGCTCCAATTCGCAGCGTAAGTACACAAAGAAAAACAACAATTTGTTAACAACAAATAAAAATTCAAATAAGAAAACAACAAACAAAACTCGAATTGCTAAATAAAGCTACTCACAAAGATATCGATAAGTGAACTAACGAGAGTAACACCTAATATACCTAAAGTGATTGGCGCTGTTCATCCAGGCAACTGTCCTCCATTTCAAATAACGCTAACATCAGAACAATGTGTAGAGTTTCGATAAACAGTTGAATAAATTTTTAATGTGGCGTCTATCCATAATAATTATTATGTGGCGTCTATCGATAACATACATGTGGCATGTACTATTAAATATATAAATGTGTCGATAATATATAAATCCCGCTTCGGCTATCATGAGATCTCTTAATTATCGTTTGTGGTATATCAGTGTTGTGGTATTTCAATGTAGGAAGTATCGCAATTATAGTGTAAGACCTTAATCAATATGCTTTTCCAAGATGTATGTGGTATATCAATGTGAAAATTATCGATTTTTAAAAACATCTGTGGCATTTGAATGTAGGAACCACAAATATTATAGTGTAAAGCCTCAATATCAATGTAGAAACTATCGATATTACCGTGTAAAACCACAATCAATATGCTTTCGTAAGATGTGTGTGGTATATCAATGTGGGAACTATCGATGTTATAGTGTAAAAGCTTACTATCAATGGAGGAACTGCCCATATTACAGTGTAAAACCTCAAAATCAATGTGGAAAATATCGATATTATAGTGTAAAACCTCAATATCAATGCAGGATCTATCGATATTATAGTGTTAGACCTCAATATATATGGACGAACTAGCGATATTATAGTGTAAGACCTTCTCAAAGATATTTGTGGTATATAAATGTAGAAACTATCGATGCTATATTGTAAAACCTCAATCAATATGCTTTTCAAAGATGATGAATCAAACCCATTCAATATGTCGATGTGGCGACTATCGGTTTTCGAATCGATTCTTATATCCAATAGCTTCTTTTATTATATCGATCATATTGATAAACTAACTAGACCAAAACTTTTATCGATATTTTTCAATGTTAGGCAAAGCCTTAATCTATAGTTTGCCAGAACTGCTATCGATAAATTATTTTACAAATCAATCTGAGCCATCGATAACAATTGGACAATTGTGGAACTGATTTGCAAACAAATTTTCCAAGTTCTTCGCATGGAACCACAGCAGACCAGCCCAGAGCACAAAATCTCAGGTGAATAACTCCCATATTTGCCGAGTTCTGAGGTCAGTTTAAATTAGTGTTGGGGGGCAAAGGCAATGAGGTGGCAGAAGAGGGCTAACAACAAACGCACGCAAAGTTTTAACATCCATTTGTGGTCAGTTGTGGGCAAAAGTTCTGCGGCTGTCAACTGACGGCTAATAGAATTGAATGGGTTGGTCTGCTGGAATGAAACGGAATGTGAAATCATTTTCCGCTAAGTTGTCAACGCTTGCAGCTTCAGCCGCAATCAGACACCGCGCACAGCGGGCGCAGCGGGGCGCAGCGGGGCGCAGCGGGGCGCAGCACATACGCAACCGCTTAGCTTTATAAATATACCAGCACACAGCCAACCCACAAAACCACCAAACCACCCAACCACCGACCCACCTTCACACACACACATACACAGAAGAAGAAGCACACGTCGATTGCGGGTTGTCGTCGCCGCTGGGCCAATTAAAACGGCGGCAGCAACCTGTTGACCAGCTGAGAATGGAAGGAGAAACAGGAAGTGAGAATTGGGAATGAGAATAGAAATGAGAATAGTAATAGGATTGTGAACTGAAAAGGTAAAATGAATAGGAATTGAAACAGGGGTAAAACTAGGTAAATGAATAGAAATTAAAATGTGAGCATGACTGGAAATACAGATAGGAATAGGAATTGCAGCAGGGGTGAGGGAGGAAAAAATAGGCATGTGAATAGAACTTTAAACAAAGATGTGGGAATTAAGGACCAACCAAAGGAATGCCATCGAAAATAGCTGAGACTAGGGAAGGAAAATTAAATCGGGAGAGGAGAATAAGGAGAGGATAATGCATTGAGAGTGAAATTGATATACTCCGAAATGCATACAGGAATGTTCACAGGCAAGAGATTCAAATTGGAATAGGAGAAGGATATTGAAACGGTTTGTCAATAAAGATATGAATGGAATAAGACAAAAGGACTTCAAACAAAAATGGCAATCTCAATAAGTTCAAGAACCAGAATCGAGTTTCAAATTGTATAAAAACTTAAGGCCGAAAACAATTGGAAGCGAGTTGGAAGGACTTAAGATTATAAATAAACACAAATGAAGGAAGGAAGGTGAAATAAGTAAGCAAATAGTAATAGAATAGGAATTTCAAATGGAAATAGGGACAAGCAGATGCTAAATTGGGAAAGGAAGAGCCGATATGAATGGAAGGTAGGGCAACGGGTACGAATATGAATAAGGATACGCATTAGAATTAAATTGTCAAAATGACTAAGAATGGAAGAACTGGGAGCGCATCCCAATAAAGATGAGCGAGCGGAATTTCGACAGGAAGTAAAATCCAATAAGGGTGAAAAAAATGGAATTTCGATGGAAAATGAATTCCAATCGATAGTTGACACTCATATATGTATTTCTGCGCACATATCAGAGCATGGCAGAATGTACGTCAACGTACGGATAACAAAAAAAAAACAAGAGGTTCTAGTCGGGAGCTCCCGACTAGGGGATACCCTGTACCCTCTTCTTCCAACAGGCGATAGGTATAAAATGAAAGATACTTGATATATATATACTATTCTAGAGGCTACATGTCAAGTTTGGTGACTCTAGCTCATATTATTTGCTGAAATTGCCCAAAAACAGGATTTCGATATCGATTTTTATCGATTACTTGGAAACGGGGCAAGTTATCGAATATCGGAAACAAACTCGATCTGCGCGGGGACTAGGAGGACCTACAGCTAAAATTTCAAGTCTCTAGCTCTTAAAGGTTTTAAGATCCTTGCGTTCATACATACGGACGGACGGACAGACAGACGGACATGGCTAGATCGACTCAAGAATATATATACTTTATGGGGTCGAAGATGCTGCCTTCTGCTTGTTACATACATTTGCACAAATACATTATACCCTCTTTACCCATTTTCAATGGGTTCAGGGTATAAAAAAAAGAAGGGGAATATTGATGGGAATTCGAATAAGAGGTGACACATGGAAATGAATTCCCATAGGTGGAGTATGGGCAAATGTTGCTGGATAAGCCAATTATATGCGTCAGGTTTGATCAGCTGCACAATGTAAAGCGCGGCATGTTGCAGCAGCAACAACAATAACAGCAAGACGACAGCAACACGCAGATAATTAACAAGCTGATGGCTGAAAGCCACCCAAAAGCCAAACCCAACGCAACCAAACAGTTGTCATTTGTGCAGTCGTTGCTGTCACACTCACAGACACAGCCACAGCCACAGTTGCAGTTGCACTTGTTGTTGCACTTGTTGTTGCACTTGTTGTTGCAGTTGTTTTCTGTCAAATGATTGCGCGTACAACATGACTGGCTGTCGGAGCAGATGTGGCTGACTGTTGTCTGGGCGTGCGGTTGCATTGAATCGCTTTGGCAGTTGCTGTTGTCGCACTTAATGACTTAATGACTGCAAATAACCAGAGTCTGAGTACAAAATCAGTTCAGCTCAAAGCGGAGCCGAATTCGAGAAACAAACAAAAAAAAAATGGCTCACATTTTCAGTGAGAAAGTTCTACCAGCTTTTATTCCATCAAGCTGGTATCAAGACTTCGATTTCACTTTTTTTTATCTTGATTTGAAATATACTAAAGAGAAATTATCCTAGCGAAATTTTCAACCTTGCAAGTAAAGGCTAAAGGGTATTCTAATTTGGCCATCAAATGTGTAACGTAGAGAACTGACATCTCCGAGCCCATAAAGTATATATCATTCGAGCTGAAGGTCTCTCAGTTTTAGAGCTATCGTCTTGAAACTTTGCCTAGATCCGCCTCTCTGTTGCAGGCAGTACAAACCTCGAAGCCTTCCGGATCGTAGCACTATATCATATAGCTGTCATAGGAACGTTCTGTCAAAAAGTAAGTTCTCGTATGAACAATTTCTTGGTTTATGATCAAAGATCCCACTTCTACATTATATAGCACTCTGGGAAGATCCAGTTGTTATAAAAGTTTCTTTATGGCAACATATTCTGTCTATTCTCCAAGATATTTTAACCAAACTCAGCTTTTACGAGCTTCATATTTCGCAAAACCGTAAGGCAAATGTCGACTAGGCTATTAAATCTTCGTTTTAATTAATTGTTATTGTGTTATGTAAGTTTTCATAAATTAAGTAAACAAAAGAATATATACAAATTATAAATTCCTTCCTGGTTTGAACCAACGACCTTCCGCTTGCCAGTCCGACGCTCAGGCAACTAAGCAACACAGGCTCAGGACGTCGCGTTGGCAAAGCACATTTATACGGATTAGTTCTTCATGGTGTGATTCATCGAATTTTATATAAGTTCCACTTAGTGCTCTTACGCGTTTGACTAATGTTCAATCAATCAGTCAGTCAATCAGTTGGTCAGTCAGTCAGCACGAACTCTGTTAGTCTGAAGTGTTAAGCTTCAGCTGTACAAGCTAATATATGCTAAGCCTATTATGTTAATGAGTCTTACATTTTGGAATTTCCAATGATAATGTTAACTAAGTGCTTGCTTTACATAAAAAGAGCTAAGCCGCTGCTGTTAATGTTAACGCACGCGCTAAGCACTGCATTCGAATGTTAACGAAAGCGCGCCACAGCTGCTAATACAATTTGAAGTGAACACGGCCCCATGAAAGTTTGACAAGCACATTTCATAGAGATGTCAACTTAAGCATTCCGCTTGTCATACAAGAGACCATTTCAAGGGCGAGGTGCGTCATCGGGTGGGTGCACGTGCACGTGCAGGTGGGTGACTGAGTGGTTCTCGTCTAATAAGC